CAACTGGCTTTCGTGGCTAAGGGAGGACTTGAACTCAGGGTCTCCCGGTTTCTAGCGTGGTGCCTTAACCATTAGACTCAACTGGTTTCCTTCCGTGTCTTTCATGGTAGCTTTTAAATGATGTCCCATTAGACTTTATTTCTGCGTGTTTCCTGATGGCACCAGGAACCCAACAATTCAATCCAGCAGCTCAACAAAGGACAATAAAATGAAAAAGTATTTTTTTAAAAAAAAAATTGATCCTCAAATATCTGTTACAGTGTAGATGGAGGGCAGAGTGTTGTCAGTGTTTCCAAAAGACCCTGTGAGAAACAACTGAATCTCCCTTAAAAATGCCTTTATCATTTGTTCCTTTTTATTGGAGGGGGAAAGACTATTTCATAATAATAATAATAATAATAATAATAATAATAATAATAATAATAATAATAATAATAATAATAATAATAATAATAATAATAATAATAATAATAATAATAATAATAATAAAGTTGGAAGGGACCTTAGAGGTCATCTAGTCCAACCCCCTGCTCAGGCAGGAAAACCTATACCATTTCGGACAAATGGCTATCCAGTCTCTTCTTAAAAACTTCCAGTGTTGGAGCATTCACAGCTTCTGGAGGCAGGTTGTTCCACTGGTTAATTGTTCTCACTGTCAGGAAGTTTCTTCTCAGTTCTAGGTTGCTTCTCTCTTTGGTTAGTTTCCATCCGCTGCTTCTTGTCCTGCCTTCAGGGGCTTTGGAGAAGAGCTTGACTCCCTCTTCTTTGGGGCAGCCCCTGAGGTATTGGAAGACTGCTATCATGTCCCCCCTCGTCCTTCTCTTCATTAAACTAGACATATCCAATTCCAGCAGCCGTTCCTTATATGCTTTAGCCTCCAGTCCCCTGATCATCTTTGTTGTCTTCTCTGTACTCTTTCTAGAGTCTCAACCTCTTTTTTACATCGCGGTGACCAAAACTGGATGCAGTATTCCAAGTGTGGCCTCAACAATGCCTTGTAAAGTGGTATTAACACTTCACGTGGTCTTGATTCTATCCCTCTGTTAATGCAGCCTAGGACTGTGTTGGCCTTTTTGGCAGCTGCAGCACACTGCTGGCTCATATTTAAGGGATTGTGGTGCTAGAATGATTAAAGCACAGATATTGTACCAAACCTTTCTACTGACGTGTAAAAAGGCATTTTTTTTTTCTTTTTCTTCAAAAATAAAATACCTGCAACTTCCACGTCTCCAACCAGATGGATGGAGGTCTATGGAAAAAGACTAGACGTTGCCTTTTCACTGAGGCATGTGGCTAATTCATAACAGTTCATTTACTTTGATGGCTCCTTTCTGCACGTCAACTAATCTATGAAAGGCATTTGGTTATACGGACTTTTCAGATTCATCTATGAATGAATGATCTGCTATTAAGCGGAGGAATGAACCAGACAATTTTGGCGGATGGCCGCAAAAGGTTCATTGCAAATTATGAAAGGTTATTCAGTGACATCATTACTACTGAAAAGCAAACCAGTCTTAAAGCTTTCTAGTCAATCCCTTGCAATACTTCTCTGCAGTTGATCAGGACAAGAGTACATGGTGAGAAGACAGCATACTAAAAAGCAGAGACGTCACCCTGCCAACAAAAGTGTGGATAGTCAAGGCCATGGTTTTCCCAGTTGCAATGTACAGCTGTGAAAGTTGGACCATAAGAAAGGCTGAGCGCCAAAGAATGGAGGCCTTTGAACTCTGGTGCTGGAGAAGACTCCTGTGAGTCCCCTGGACTGCAAGGCGGTCAAACCGGTCCGTCCTGGAGGAGATCAACCCTGACTGCTCTTTAGAAGGCCAGATCCTGAAGTTGAAATTCAAGTCCTTTGGCCACCTAATGAGAAGGAAGGACTCACTGGAGAAGAGCCTGATGCTGGGAAAGATGGAGGGCAAGAGAAGAAGGGGACAACAGAGAATGAGGTGGCTGGATGGAGTCACTGAAGCAGTAGGCGAGAGCTTAAATGGACTCTAGAAGAGGGTAGAGGACAGGAAGGCCTGGAGGAACGTTGTCCATGCGGTCACGATGAGTTGGACACGACTTCACAACTAACAACAACATGGTGAGAATATCTGCCCAGGTCATCCTGTGGGATTGTCCTCTTCCATCCTAATCTTCAAGGATCAGCACAAGTTGTTTAGCAAATAAGCTGTGATGGCGGGACTTCCTGGAGGAGAATATTTGAAAAATATGACTGTTTGAGAATGTGAGGACATATTTTAGGTTATGAAGAAATGGCAGGGGCACTATCAAATCCGAGGAGCCAGAATGTGACCGTGAGCTGCTCAAGGTTATTTCTTTATTGCTGCATGCCTATTTACAAGAATCTCACCAGACTGACTGCATTCTCTCTTTGTGGGTGTTTGTGTGCGTAAAAAGTTTTATTAGCTTATAGTCTGCGATACAATGAAAATACAAAAGTAAATAGCGGTAAAAATGGGGAAGGGAAAAGGGAATAGAGAAGCGAGGTAGGAAAGAGAAAAACAGAAGGAAAGCTTCCAACTTCCTTTGGTGCAGCAAAGTAAAGTATCAACTTCAAACCTCAACTTTTTACTTTTACAAAATTGTCACGCTAATGATTTAATAGCTAACCAGCTTATGTAATGTATGATGTATGATGTAATGATGGGAATGACTCAGCAGGGTCTGTGTCCCTTTAAGAGCCAGCTGGGTCTGTGTCTTTTTAAGAGCCTCTGTATAAAAGGAAAGACTCCGCTGATGTGTTCTCTCTCTTCCGTTTCCTGCTGTAACTGCTGTGTGTTCGATCCTGCTGGATGAACACGTGTGTGTATATTGTTCCTGGTGTATGATATTGTCGATAGTGTAAGATAAACCACCATTTAATAATAGACCACTGTTTACTGTGTTTACTTCTGGGTTATCTCAGCGCCGTAAGACTGTGCATACTCCGACAAAAAGAATATAAGCTAGCCATTTCGATAACATCAAATCTATCTAATTGGTAAAACCCAAAATCAAAATTTCATAAAAAAAAAGGTTGGAGTTCGTGCTTCAGATCTTCACCAAAGGCAAACCGTGATTTTCACAAGCATAAGGATATGACTGACGTAAGAGAAACCTTGTCGGTCTATTCCAAAGTTCCTAAACCCCCCTCTTTTCTAGAACCAACGAATGATGACACGTTCTTGAGAATTCCAGTGGGGGGGGAAGTGTGGAAGGGGGTAAGTAGCTGGAGACTCCATCCCAGGCACCAAGAGAAAATGGCTGTCCCGGGGGGGGGGGAGGCTGTTTGCAAAATCACCCCCCCTACTTAAAGGAGCAGAAAATAAAATAACGATTAAATTGTGCAAACTGCACAGCGTTCCAATTAACTGCAATAAAATGCTGGCATTTCAAACAGGTTTTAAGAGCACCTTTTATTCCAGTCTTAAACGGCAAAACCTATTTTAAGAAATCCCTTTTTGGGGGAAAAAGCAAAAAAAGGAAACGTGATGAGGCATTTCCTTTTAAATCGGTTTGATTTGACGCTTTTTGTAAAACAAAATAAACCCGTGTATTGTGCAAAAATATTTTCAAACTTTTTTACTTTGAAATGAAAACTGATTCTGTATGCGTGCCTGTATGTTGTCAATCATTCTGTCTCCCCCCCCACATAGAATAATCCACCTTTTTTTCTGCTCTCCTGCCTTGCAAAAAGTTATTGCTTTTTCACCAGAATGTCAGGCCCAAAGAATCAAGAACAATATATGGGTTACTTCTGAGTTCTTTCATTATCTTACAAAGAACAGTTGCTGGAATTGGGTCTGTCTAGTTTAACGAAGAGAAGGACGAGGGGGGACAGGATAGCAGTGTTCCAGTATCTCAGGGGCTGCCCCAAAGAAGAGGGAGTCAAGCTGTTCTCCAAAGCGCCTGAAGGCAGCACAAGAAGCGACGGGTGGAAACTCATCAAGGAGAGAAGCAACCTGGAACTAAGGAGAAACTTCCTGACAGTTAGAACAATTAACCAGTGGAACCACCTGCCTCCAGAAGCGGTGAATGCTCCAACACTGGAAGTTTTTAAGAAGAGACTGGGCAGCCATTTGTACGAAATGGTGTAGGGTTTCCTGCCTGAGCAGGGGGTTGGACTAGATAATCTCCAAGGTCCCTTCCAACATTATTATTTTTGTTATTGTTGTTATTGTTATTATTATCTACTTACTTACTTCGAACTCCTAGAATCAAAGCTGGAAAGTTCTGTATTAGGTTCCTATGGATGGTGTCAGCCCAGTATTTTTATATATTCCAGCAAAGCCAGATTAAAGGGTTTAAAGCCATCAATTGAATCCAAAATGTTCATGAAAGACTCTTGACTGTGTTCCAAACAACTTGGGGGGAGAGAGCGTTGTTCAAAGAAAAGAAAGTCGTTTTATTAATGATTGCCATTATGTGTTTTTCTATTATGTATAATTATGAATGAAACCAAAGGAAAAAGTCCTTCTAGAATCTCTGAAATTGTTTGAGAATCCCCAAGGAACCGTTTTAGGAGTTCCGAGATCCCTCAATTGTGGGAATTCAGTAGCAAAAAGATGATTTAAAAAAAAAGAGAGAGAAAAAAAAGAAGGAAAAAGACATTTTCCACAATATTTTTATTTAACTACCTTGCAGTTCTGCCCGAGAAATTTGAAACTCGCTGTCATGCAATGTGCCAAATTTTGGTGACGGGGAACTGGGAATCCTGGGTGTTAAAGTCCACACATCTTAAAAGTTGCTGAGGTTGATCTAGAGATGATTTGAAATCTCTCTTTTGCAATAACAAAGCTGGTGGGTATAACAGCCTGGGTTTTGGTTTAGCCTTTAATGTTTGGAACCAGACGTAATTAAGCCAATTACGATACGTTTACATTAGACCTTGCGCCTTACCCCACTCCTGTGCATTCCCATGTTATGAGTTTAAATAAAGAAGAGTGGGGTTTTTTTTCCCTCTTTGGACTTCCTTGCATTTTGCTTCATGTTTGCTTTTTCTCTCCTGACAGCTGGATCAAGTGATCCGTCAGCGAAGCCTTTCCAGCTTGGAATTGTTCCTCTCTTGTGCTCAGAAGCAGCTGAGCTGTTTACTGCAGGAAGAGGTCACCGTGGCAGAGACAGCAGGACAGAATCCATAAGGTGGATCAATTCTCTCAAAAGGCCCTGGAGACCAGATGGAGAACTAGGATCCATCAGCCGGTCACGTTTGTGTTTTGATTAGATGTTCAGAATCTGTACTGCAGTCCTTGTAAAGCTACCGGTTGTGTGAAATCTTGTCAACCGCTCCCACGTAATTTTAACAAGAAAGGCAGTCATGGGCAAATCTCAGTAAAACAACTTATTCCCAAAATAGGTACATTTGTCATTTACAAACCTAAAGCTTCTTTTTTTTTTTTTTTAAATAATGTTGCACGGAGGGCCGCATCGCTTTTATTATGGATGCCATACTTAACTGGCATTGATCAAGTGGAAATAAAATAATGGTGAATGCCAGAAATAAAAGGAGAGCATTAGCGCTCATCCAAATTTGAAAACACTAATTGAAGACGTTTGAATGACAACTGGAATTGAAAAGCCTTATTATTTATTTGCATCGGTTCCAAAAATGGCCTGTGGCGTTCTCTGCTTTTGTGCCTTTTCGTGGGAAAAAAAAAACGCACGTCTTTTCAGTTTCGTAGTTTGTCTTAAGCTGGGGAACCCAGATCTGCTCAATTATTAGTTCTCTTGGTCTTACAAACGTTACGTTAAGATTATCGCCTTAATTCATGCAAGGAAATAACATGCATCCACACGGCGCCAGCGGCCCCATTTGTGCAGGTGCTAGCTGTTGCCGCTAGCCCCACGCGCATGCGCAAACGGGTCCATTACCCGGTGGCCAGTAAGCCACAGCCCAGTAGTAGGCCATGGCTCATAGGTTGGGGACCCCTGCCTTAGATTGTAAACTCAGTTCCATGCAACTTTTTTCTGATTTCTCATGACATGGTGATTTGTTGAGGGTGTGAAGAAGATGTTGAATGTTTTAAGCCAGGGGTCCTCAACCTTGGCAACTTTAAGACTTGTGGACTTCAACTGCCAGAATTCCTCAGCCAGCTGGAATTCTGGGAGTTGAAGTCCACAAGTCTTAAAGTTCCCAAAGTTGAGGACCTCTGTTTTAAGCTTTTTATTTTAGGGAGGAATTTAATGATTGGGGTGACTTTTGGACACACTCTGGTCTACCTTCTTAATTTGGGCTGTTCCACACAGTAAAAGACACGGCTAAGAACTGGCCACGTTGTGGTGAAATTCTAGTGACAGCGTCTCCGAGGGCATCGGAGCCATAGAGGGCGAGTTGGCCTCTGCCTGGCATGTCCACACCGGCTTTGAAAAGACGCAATCAATGTACAGAACTGGAACAGTCTCTGAAATTTCCACAGCTTTTTGCCGATGTGTAAAAGGAACGGAGGAGATAGTAGCGATGTAATTATTCACTTTGGGGTATACATTTTAATTTTTTTTCCCCCTGCCTTTTGCAATACACTACATGTTAACGATTTACAGGATGAAATAATTGAGCAACTTTTATGCTTGTTACTGTGAAAAATCATTCTTTACCAAATAATCCTGTGTCCGGTATGTTTCTTCAGGGAGTCTTTTTAAAGGTATGCATGAAGTGTGTGTGTGTGTGTGTGTGTGTGTGTGTGTGTGTGTGTGTTTTCTTCTCTGAACTCTGAGCCCCCACCTGCCAAGTTCACTTTGTGCTACGGCAGGCCACATTGGGTGAACAAGAGCTAGCATGCAACGGTCAGAAAGAGTCCTGCGTTGCAGGTCCACCCAAGAATCTTCCAGGGATGAGTGAACAGTTGCAAATAAGACGATGGAACCGCAAGGTCTCGTGCAGGATCCTTTCTTGAGCTAATTGGGAGGATCTTGATGGTGCCATCAAATTTCACAGTGCTTCTAATACCAACATAAAGAGCAGTTCAGGACTTCATTTCCATGACAGTAACTATACTGAGTTGTCCGTGAAATGGATTTGGTAACAGGAACGGTTGAAAAGGAAGCCCTGGCCTTCAGAAAGCTGCAGGGGCTGTAGATATTAGGGTGTTTTGCTTCATCCCTGACCCAACATCTTCAGACTTTACATGGCCCTTAGTAGTCAGCAGGCTCCTAAATCTGGCCACCTCTCTATAGTCAAAATGAAGGATTCCAGGTATACAGGTCAGCGCAGTGGTGAGAATGCGGTATTGCAGGCTGACTCTGCCTACTGCCAGGAGTTCGATCCTCACCAGCTCAAGGTTGACTCAGCCGTCCGTCCTTCCGAGGTTGGTAAAATGAGGGCCCAGATTGTTGGGGGCAAATAGGCTGACTCTGTAAACCGCTTAGAGAGGGCTGTGAAGCGGTATATAAGTCTAAGTGCTGACTCTGCCTACTGCCAAGAGTTTGATCCTCACCCGGTCAAGGTTGACTCAGCCTTCCATCGACTCAGCCTTTTACCGACGTCGGTAAAATGAGGACCCAGATTGTTGGGGACAATATGCTGACCCTGTAAACCACTTAGAGAATGCTGTAAGGCACTATGGAACAATATATAAGGCCTAGTACTATGATGTGTCTGCTTAAAGGATGAAAAATATTGCTTTCTTTTTTTTCCGGAACTCATCTTTTGGAAATTTACCTCTTTCTTAACCTGGTTGACAGTTTTTTCCTGTTCCTCCAAGATGTAACATTCTACATAAGATAAGAAGGCTTTGTAATGGTTTCTCCACTTTGGAGATGAGGATCTGCAAGGTGGATCAAAATTTCGAATTATCCAGATTTATCCCTGTTTCTACACACTTTGATTGTATGGACACTGATGTATTCGTGAACTTTTTGACTTTCCCCTTGAAATAATCCTGTTTGGATTTAGTTCCAGATTAATTAGCCAGAAACTCAAGATTCATTTGTTGGACACCAAGCATCCAAATAGTTACAATTCATCCACTGACTTGACATTATTATGTTTGGTTGCACAATCAGACAGATGTTTAGATAATAATAATAATAAGAAGAAGAAACATGCAGGACAGCTAAATGTTTTGCAGTGGTACATATTGTGCGTGCAAATTGCAATTGTGATCTACATTTCCTCTTTGTTGCTTCCTAGGAGGGAAAAAATGCAGAAGCCCATAAAACTGTGTCTTAAAAAATAGCAAGTGTTATGGGTAGTTTAGAACATCGTCTTTTCATAAGGTATCCAAAATTTTATTTGAAGCTGCGTTTAGAAAATAAAATTTTGTGGTTTTTACCTCTCTTGAAGCCATATTTATTTTACAGGGAGTGTTTTTACATTCATGACATTGTTTTGAGGGGAATAACTTTCTGCAATAACAGAATAACTTTCCTTTTTTCTTCTGCCTTGCAAACTGTCTCTAAAGAAATAGATCTTTTAATACGTGCCAGTTTGGGATTTTATTTATTTTTTTCATCTGTAATTCTGCACATTTCCGACTTCCTTATAAACCCAGCATTTTTTCCATTTTTTCCATTGTGCTTTGCGATTAACGAGGAACAGGAATGTCGAAGCATAAATAGTTGGGCTATTCTATCTTTCTCCCCCGTGATATTTTAACTGCCAATTTGACAGTTGGCTCTAAGAAAGGTAACAACGGACAGCAGCAACAAAATTGTGGGGTGAATTTGTCTCTTGACCACACGCAACTCTAGCACGGCACACAAATACATACGGAAAATCCTCACTAACATCTAGCTGAGCTGGAGCAAGGACTTGACCTTGCCAAAATATACTAAAGGCTCGTCTTTAGAGAAAATGCAGAGATGTCCCATTGGAAGATCACTTCTCAAAATTGCAAAACGACAACAATTGAAACACGTTTTACACAGGGAAGACACAATGCTGAGGTTTCCAGTTGTAGTTCTTTGACGTGTGTGGGTCCACATTGAATCAGCCCTCCATTTTGAATATGCCCTTACATATTAGATGGTCTGAACACGTCCAGTTCAACCTCCCCACTATTGCTTCCCTCATCAGCTTCCCCTTACTGTGAGATGGTTGTCAGGAAGCAGCATACAAGCAGTTGTGTCCTGCAGTTGTGTCCTGAAAAAGCACCTTTGGGACAACCATGACCTGGATGACTGAGAACCTCCATAGACTTTGGATGAGAAGTGATACTGAGAGATGGAAAACTCACAGTGGACTATATATACCAAGGTGAGAAGCAACCTAGAACTAAGGAGAAACTTCCCGACAGAACAATTAACCAGTGGAACCACCTGCCTCCAGAAGCGGTGAATGCTCCAACACTGGAAGTTTTTAAGAAGAAACTGGACAGCCATTTGTCCGAAATGGTATAGGGTTTCCTGCCTGAGCAGGGGGTTGGACTGGATGACCTCCATAATAATAATAATTATTATTATTACTTACACTTCAGAAAAAAAGAGAGTCCTGGCAGACATGCGAATCCTATTCAGGATTGTCCATTGCTGGTGTGGTAGTTCAAAGCCTGACACCTTTTTACGTGAAGTCATTTTTATGTTAATCAGAATACAGCTGGAAGGGAACTTGGAGGTCATCTAGTCCAACCCCCTGCTCAAGAAGGAGACTCTATGCCATTTCAGACAAGTGGCTGTCCAGTCTCTTCTTAAAAACTTCCAGTGTTGGAGCATTCACCGCTTCTGGAGGCAGGTGGTTCCACTGGGTAATTGTTCTAACTGTCAGGAAGTTTCTCCTTAGTTCTAGGTTGCTTCTCTCCTTGATTACTTTCTGTCGATTGCTTCTTGTCCTGCCTTCAGGAGCCTTGGAGAATAGCTTGACTCCCTCTTCTTTGGGGCAGCCCCTGAGATATTGGAAGACTGCTGTCATGTCCCCACTAGTTCTTTTCTCTAGACTAGCCATTCCCAAATCCTGCAGCCGTTCTTCATATGTTTTAGTCTCCAGACCTTTAATTGTCTTAGTTGCTCTTCTCTGCACTTTTTCCCAAAGTCTTAACATCTTTTTTTTTATTAAAAGTTTTATAAAAAATTACAATATAATCCCCCTCCCACCCCAAAAACCCCCCTCTTCCCCACTTCCCAGAGCTGTTCACAGGGTAACAATATAATAATCATAATCTAACTAACATTAACCAACTATTAAGTTACCAAATCTATAAAACATTTAACTCCCTTTTAACATAAATTTAAATAAATTAAAGTTAAACACAATAATGAACAAATAATAATATAATAATAATTAAAAATAACAAAAAAATAAACTATTATAAAGTATTGACAATAGTGATACTCTAAAATTTACTCAAAAACCAAATGGAACTTTTTAGTCCTATATTTATTCTGAATATAATCTATCCATCTTCTCCATCTTAACATCTTTTTTATAATATGGTGATCAACACTGAATGCAGTATTTCAGATGTGATCTTACTAAGGTTTTTATAAAGCAGTACTAATACCTCACATGATTTTGATTCTATGCCTCTGTTTATACAACCAAGGATTGCATTAGCTTTTTTGGCTGCTGCCGTACACGGCTGGCTCATAGTCAAATGATCGTCCACTAGGACTCCAAGGTCCCTCTCACAGTTACTGTTTTTGAGCCAGATTTTGCCTAATCTGTACTTGTGCTTTTGGTTTTTCCTGCCTAGATATAAAACCTTACTTTTCTCCACATTCAATTATGCCTTCCTAGGACTGGGCGATCAGCAATCCATTTGGCTTTCCTTTGGGAATCAGTGATAAAGTTATCAAATTCATAATGATTCAATGCTTCCCAGTCTCTTTAATACAGACTTTAATAAAGTCTCTTTAATACAGATATTGAGTCCAACTGCACACAGCTAAGTTCACCCAAATGTTTGGGCAAGTCTGATGACCACCTTGGAGGTCATCGAGTCCAACCCC